AGACCATTTCCTGTTGTCTTCTGCTCAAGATGTAGCCAGCACCATGTCTGCCAACATGCTTCCATACTCTTTGACATGATGTTAATGGACTGAACCTCTGAAACTGTAAGCTGCCACCTCAGTTAAATCATTTCCTTTATAAGAGTAGCTGTGAACAGGATGTCTCTTCAGAGCAATAGAAACTATAACGAAGATAGAAGTTGGTACCAGGGACTGGGGTATTGCTGTGATAGGCCTGACCATGTTTTTGTTTGAAGGAATGTAGACCTTGGGTCTGTGGATCAGAAAAGCAGCTGAATGCTTTAAGCACTGCTTAATGAGCCATACAAGTAGGAGTATGGAAGACAGTGATGTTACTGTTATTTGAAATGAGTTCTGGCTGGGGGACTCACTCATAAAGTTTCAGAGGAGAATTTTAGTATGTTGCCTAGAAATCATTATTGTGATACTTTGGCTTTTTGCCTTGTCTAAAACGTCTGCCTGAGTCTAAGGTGAAAAGTTTATTTTAATTGTTAGGCTCTCAGACTGTGTTTTTTTTTTAATTGTCTGTATTTCAGCTTTTAAACCTTGCACTGTTTGTATTGTTTCTTGCAACTTCTGAATTCCCTGCTAAGGTTGTCTTTTCCTCCATTTCTTGAATTTTTTTTGGTTTTTTTTTTCTTCCATTTTTCTAAGGAATTTTCTCATTACCTCTTTAAGGGTCTCTATCATCTTCATAAAGTTATTTTTAGGGTCATTGTCTTCTGCTTCATCTGTGTTGGTATGTTCAGGTCTTGCTGGTGTGGAGTCCCTAGACTCTGGTGGTGTCATATTGATCTTTCTGTTGTTGACTGTGTTCTTATACTGTGGTTCTCCCATCCCTTCTTCCAGTGGGTACCGGTGGGGTCTCTCCCTCTCCTGGTGGGTATGGGACCAAGGTTCTCTTTTGGTTGGTTCAAGCAGGTCCAATACTTTGATGGATTTCCTCTTCCCATTGGTGGAGGCAGAACTAGTAATGTGACATTGGCAGACTCTGGATGGGTTCCCCTGTGTGCAGCCTCTAAGCCTCAGGAGGCTCTGAGCAAGGCATCAGAAGGTAGGCTGGAAACAGGCCTATGCTTGTCTCCTCCCATGAGTGGAGGCAGGACTAGCATGATGACTCTGTTTTACTCCTGATGGGCTGGTCCACCCAGATGGGTTCACCCATGCTCAATCCCCAGGCCTCAGGAAGCTCGGAGCAGGGCACTGGAAGTTGGGCCAGAAACAGGCCCATGCTGTATTTTTCCGATTTTATTTTTTATCAGTTTCTGCCAATTTCTTTTTAGCTCATGTCTTTCTCATAAGGCTGTACAGAACTGATCAAAATAATTTGCTTCTCCTGTTCCCCAGAGCTCTTACTTCTCACAAAATAGACCAAATGTAGGACTTCTATGGTTTATGCATTGGCTTGTGTAGCTCACAACCTGGTAGACACAAGGAAGTTTAGAAACACTGAGGAGCAGATCAAAAGTCACCACACCTATTGCTGAATTCTCTGATTAATGAAATAATAAATTTCTCCTGCATAATTACATCTGCCTTGATATTAATCTTCAGGTTCTTCTGTTGTAATTAATATTCCTAAGGATTGTGTCCTATACCATGCCTTTGACCTTTGGGACAACAAGGCTAACAAATTATTTCTAGAATTCCCAGATTCACCAAATTGGTTTTTTTTTCAAATATATCCTGAAAAGAAAAAAGATAAAAAGTATAGAATAATTTATTTTTAAATAAAATGGTAGGAAATGAGGTATACAAGATAAAACTACACCCTTTTTAAAGGGAATGGATAATCTATTACACATTATTTTTCCAGTTACTATGTGGATCTTTGTTCAAACTGCTCTGCACTCTAATTTCTTCATCCTCTAATTCCTACTCTGTCCGGTGGGCTTTAGTGGCCATTACTCAAGCTGAAGCTTGGAATCTGTGTGTGAGACTGAATTTGAATTTATTTAAAAAATACTTGCTGAATGCCTTGAGATTTTCTTGTTAATTATACATTTTTTTAAATCGATACTGACCCACATATTCCTAAACTGTATTTAAGCAAATGGATCATAAATTTTCCATTACTGCCTGATAAGGTACATTGTAATTACTTTTGTTTGTGAATTCTCTTTAAATATCAGATTCTCAATTAGCCATGTTATTTTTGTGATACAAGGATCACAAAAACATCATGGACTCAAAGTTTGGAGCTTATTTCAGATGCTAATTATGTATAGCAAATGACGCAGTAAAAATAAATAAAATGAAGCTCTATTATCTAATATGTCATAAGCTTAAAACTGAACTTCATAGCTTAAAACTAAACAGAGTAAGGGTTTAATGAAAAATAGAATTCTAAACATAAATTTTATGCATTCTTACGTTTTAATTGTTAAAATTTCCAGATAGGTCGGGCGGTGGTGGCACATGCCTTTAATCCCAGCACTCAGGAGGCAGAGGCAGGCAGATCTCTGTGAGTTCGAGGCCAGGCTGGACGAAAGCCTCCAAAACAATACAGAGAAACCCTGTCTCGTAAAAACCAAAAAAAAAAAAAAATCCAGATAGTTAATACTTTGCCTCAAAACCTAGCTGTTTTTCTAGTTTTGTTAGCTTTGGTCTCACAGATAGTTTTCATTTTGTCCTGTTCTTATCTCAACTTAGCTGTAATATACAAGGTCTCCTTCTCAGGGAACTCGATTCCTGAATAAATCTAGCTCAGGACAAGCCATTATTCTGTCTGTCCTGTGGACATTTAATTTTCTCTACAGAAAGTTCCAAATGTTCTGAGTGCTGCATATATTTATTGTTATTTTCATTGTTAAGCTAAATCTTTTGACACACACAGAATAGGTCCCCACTCCCAGCTATGTAGATTCAAGGCCTCACAGACAGCCACAGGTACACTTTCAGCAGCTGCTTGTCTCTGGACTCACATCCCCTGCACTATTGGTAGCTTTCCACTTCAAATACCTGCAGCTCTCTCCCTTGGCTTTCTTTCGACAGCAGCATGAACAACAGCAGAACAGAGCATGGAGGGTTATATTTCTAGGGAGCAGTTATCAGCAGGGATGTATACGAGTTGGCTGATGGATATCTCACTTTTCTCAACATTATAATCGAACACTCTAAAACACATTCTGTTTTCCCTTCCGGAGCTATGCAGGCACTCACTATGATAACTCAGGCGTCTGTTCCTACTGCCCACCTTTACTTGACACCTATAATCTCACAGGTTTTCTTTCCAAATAATCGTTTCATCCTTAGCCCCATAAGGTAATGCCTACATTGGAAAGAAGAAATCAGGAAGTGGGAAATAAGGAGATAAAGAGGGAGGAATAAATAAAGTATTTTATATTTAGTTATGGAAGAACTCAAGATGTGCAAAGCTAGCTCTCTGTATTTGGTAACAGTAGCCAGTAATCTTTTAATGATACTGAAGATGCTTTAAGAACAAAATGATGAGAAGATAGTAGGGCATGGGAGTGTAATGACCATGCTAACTCTAGCTTCAGGATTCCTACAGGCATCATCAGTGAATACTATGTAAGAACAAGACTCTGTCATTTCTCTGGGCACAACTCTGAGGAGACTGTGTTACTTGTCACACCAGGACTCCAAAGAGACTGTCACTTTTGAAGGGAGGTCTCTGTACAGCACCAACCTCCTGACTTACTTCTGACATACATGCATGGGCTTCTGGAACTTGGTGAGCTTTCTCCTAGAGTAAGATTTCTTGTCTCACGAGTTTTTTCTGTGAACATTCTGAACAAAATGTTTGAAATTAATAAATGATCCAATTGCTTCTAGATGTCCTCTATGTTTCACACAAATCTAATTTTTTATGTCACACAAAATTGAGCTCTAATGTTGATCATTTTTATTCTTAGAGTCCATGTCTATTTGGAATCATGTTCCACTTTGGAATAAATGTCTTTTGGAATCAAGTTTCAATTCAAAAATTACCAATGAAGTCTTTTAGGTCCGTTCCCGGTACTTGTCCTGTAATAGAGCCAGTGAAGATAGTATACCTGCTAGTGCTACTGCAAAAGAATAAGACTGTAATTGATTTTAATTACCTCATTAATTAACTTTACTCTTTGCTCTTTGGGGGCCCACCATCCAGCTTCCAAAAAATGCATGGAGATTTAATCTTCCTTAAGAATACCTGGTGTTAGCTTGAATTGTTTCCAGCCAGCTTTTTTTTTATCTTAAACTATCCTGTCTACCTTTTGCCACAGGGCTTTTACCTTTCTCTATTCTCTATTCCTTTCTTTCCTTCTTACTCCATGGCTGGTTGTGTATTTGGGTAGCTGGTCTCTGGTGTCCTCCTCTCCTCCTCTTTTTCACCTTTTATTTATTCTCTCTTTCTGGAAGTCCCACCTATCCCTCTCCTGCCTAGCTATTGGCTGTGCAGATCTCTATTAGACCAATAAGGTGTTTTAGGCAGCCAAAGTAACACAGCTTCACAGAGTTAAACAAGTGCAGCATAAAGGAATGCAAAACATAAGACCTTTACCAAAGCTTCTCCCCTGTGCCCTGCAAGGAGAGGATGCAGTTCAGTCTTTTTTATCCAAGGATCTGTCTGACGCTTGTCAGGCCATCTTACTTGATCACAGCAGGATGAAAATGAACACTCAGAGTGATTCATAAACACCAACTTAATCTGCACTGGAAGAGATACTACCCTCTTTGACAGAAAAGCCTGCAGGATGCATCCTGTGGTGACAGTCACCTCTGCGCCTGAACGTCTTGGTGGAACATGGTCAACAATATTAGAAAGCCATGTTTTATTTTATTTAAATGTCAAATAGGGTTTGTGTTTTGGTGTTTTACATTGGAATTAAAACAAAACCAGTTTTGTGGTTATGGGAGCTGGAGGACCTTGATCACCACACAGCAGCTCTTGCTTATCATCTGCCCTAGCTACTGGCTGCTGTGTGGGTAGACACCATCATCCCTGGTAAATGAAGTGGGTATTGTCTCAGAACTTGACACATTTCTTTTTATTGAGAGTTTTACACATGTACATAATGTGTCTTGACCAAATCTACCTCCATTTTCACTCTCCCATTTTTTCCAGTCCACTACTACTTTTCTCTTCCAACCTTCTGTACTTTCTTGTTCTTCCTCAGTGTGTTTCTGCACAAGAGAGAAAACATTGTTGGCTGGTATTTTGAAAAGATGAACAGAATTGCAGATATGTAGACCATTTTCACAGATATTGGTAAAATTAAACTAATAAAGTAATGCTATATTGAAATAATATATGAAAATAAAATTGTGCCTGACTCAGTCCACACCTCAGAAATCCAAAACAATCTGAGCCAGACTCTGGGAATCTTGCTGTTGTGTGAAACATGAATCCTCACTATGGTGAGGCGTTGTGGTAATCAAGCACACCTCTGGGAGTTGGATAAATGCTATGAACATTCTTTAAAAGAAACACACACACACACAGAGATAGAGAGAGAGAGAGAGAGAGAGGGAGAGAGAGAGAGAGAGAGAGAGAGAGAGAGAGAGAGAGAGAGAGAGAGAGAGAGAGAGAGAGAGAGAGAGAGAGAGAGAATCTGGAAGTTGATTTTAAGGGATTCACCAAATCCCTCAAACCACACTTCTTTCAGTTAAAAACCTCTAATGTACACATTCAAGTGACTGATTCCATCTTAGAGTGGCCAAAGTACTATGGAGGGATGGGCAATCCCCAAAGTCATTCTGAGCTGTCATCACAGCTGGAAGATGTGGACTTTAAATTTCCTCTTAATACCCTGCTGGAGTTCACCTGAGAATTGCTGAACTTTCTGCTTTACTTTCATTTAATTCAACATCCTAGCTAATTCCTGGGTAAACATATGTTTGACTATACATATATGGAGACAAACATATTGAAAACAGTAAGTGCTAAAAAATGGTCTGCATTAGTTACTTCCATATATGTTCATTTGAATAAGGTGAAACATCAAGAAAACTAGTTATGAAGACCCTTATTTATCCAAGATGAATACCTAGAGATATTCTTTGGTATTAGTGTCAGCGTTTGTAAGAAAAAATTATCCCATTAAAATAGCCCTCATGAATAATTCAGAGAGTTCAATTTAATGGAGGAAGGGGGAGACAGAAACGGGTCATCAAATTTGTTGGAAACCTATATTGCTGCACAGCATTTTTTATGAGCAGTTATAATGTAAGTTATTTTTTGTTCTGTACCCAAGTAGTTCTCATAATTCAAAAATTTTGTTCTTAATTTTCTGATGTGTTGCATTCCTAAAAGTATTTTCTCAAAAAATGTTTTAATGCACACTGATTTTTTGTTTTCATAATTGAATTGATAAGAAATATTTTCTTATGTTGAAGTAGTAACCAACCTGAAAGAAAGTAAGCTGGGATGACCAACTTCCTGCAATGCGGTAATCACTAGAGTGAGTTTAGTGGACCCTGACTGTGTTGGTCAGGATTCAGTCTGGGAAAAAAGGAGCACTGGAGAATCCTTCATGGTGAAGTATTAAGAGTACAAGGGACTAGTGATAGAGGTCAGAAAAGAAGCTATGAGTGATAGAGAGAAGACAACAGGACTGAGTGTACATCAAACACATGAAGGTGTTCTTCTTTGATGAACATTCATATGTACAGAAGCCTGAAGCATGTTTCAGATTTGAAACCAAGAGCTTTACAATTCTGTTTTAATTAGCAAGTGTCTTGTCTATTGCGTAGGTAGGCCAAGTAGTTGCTCTGAGAAAGTGATATCTCCAGCTTTTCTGTGATTTAAGTCTCAGCTATGTGCTGTGTTCATCATTTACACAGACTTTGAAAGATAAAACTACAAATGAACTTGATGTCTATAAGTATCCTGGAGCCTTCATCCAGTGACTGATGGAAGCAGAGGCAAACATCCACAGTTAAACACTGAACTGAACCTAAGGAACCCAGTGACAGAGAGAGAGGAGTGGTGAGCAAATTGGCAAAGAATGGGCTGGCAAAACCAGCAGAGACAGCTGATCTGAACAGGGGAGAGCTCTTGGACCCCAGACCGACAGCTGGGAGGCCAGCATGGGACCGATCCAGACCCCCTGAGTGTGAGAGTCAGTGAGGAGGCCTGGGCAACCTATGGGGTCCTGAGCAGTGGATCAGTGTTTATCCCTAGAATACAAACAGACATCGTGTGTCCATAACACAAAGAGGGATGCTCTCTCAGCCTGGACTCTTAGGGGAGTGCCTGGACCCTGCCCTGAGTGAAATGACAGACTCTGGATCTCCCCTATGTGTAAGGAAATGGCAATAGGGTGGGAGGCTGGAGGGGATGGTAGTTGGGTGCAGGAGGAGGGAAGGGAGAGAGAACTGGGATTGTCATGTAAAACAAGCTATTTAAAATGAAAATAATAATAAAAAAATAAAAATAAAAAGTTAAAAAAACTACAATTGTTAGTAATAATAAGGCAATTAACCGCATGGAATATAATGGAAATCATTGAAATTGCTTCTTATTTTTCCTATCAGCAGAATAGAACAAAAAAAAACATTATGAGTTAAAGGTGGGGTAGCATCTGAAGCTGCAGCAAGGGCTCAGCGGGGGAAATACTTCTTTCCAAGAGTCAGGTGGAGTTTTTCACAGTAAAGAGGGGATGGTGGATTTGACCCTTTATAAGAAGGGCAGGAATGGTAAAGAATGTGAGTCTGGTTCCATTGGGTGCAGACCTGAGAAGAACACTAGCATTAGGGTACAGAAAGTCACTGTGAAGAGATCTGTGGATCAATTCTTGAAGAAAGAAAGGATAGAAACCAGTGGACAGAAGAGCTCAAATTAAATTAATACATTTTTTTGTCATTGAGATCTAAAACACGTGTCTCATCGTCTTCACCTAAGAGGTAACACAGTCTCTTCAGAGTCCTTGCCTGACAGGGAGCATAGTCTTTTCAAAGTCCCCACATGAAGGTAACACTCCAAAGTAAGACTTCCTTGAAGTCTTTCCCTTACAGATAAGTCTTTTCATAGTACTCACACATGATGCTTACAGATATACTAAGACTGGACCAAACATCTCAGCAATCTCCCCAGAAGGCCAGACCTTTTCAACCCTCACTCCATTACTGAGTGTGGATATCCTTTTTATGAGTGAAGTGGTCCCTTCATTGGGGTTGTTTTCCAGCTGTACTCATGGCATCTGGAGCCATAGGTTCAAATATCTGGAGAACACACCTCCAAAGACAGGGTGTCCATGTTTTCGGTTTCAAGTGAAAAAGAAAAGGAAAAAAACAAGCACTAAGAGAAGTAAGAACAAAGAGCCCAATGAAAACAGAAATCTGATTACAAACAAGAAATTTGGTCTTACAATCAGGAAAGCTGTATTTGGGCTAAGAATGAAGTGATGCAGTAACTCATCAACAATTTGAAAATTGTCTTGGAAAGAAAAAAGCCATGTGTAGAGTGAACATGTCTGGCAAACTTGTGTTATAGCCTGTGGGGACTGATAAGTATTTTTGGTATCTTTTGACTTAAAGTCTTCCTTCTTATCATAGAGGCCTTCTATGAAGAAAGTTGTAAGGCCTATGAGACCTGCTCCAGCTCCTACCCAGGGTTCCAAAGGTGAGCTGCTTCTCAGGATCCAAGGAGGCAGCAAAGATTTATATAGTGACTTCACACACAATCTGAGGGGCATGCTTTTTATTTCCTGTGCTCTTTATTGCTCTATTTCTACTCTAATAACCCTGTCCTACTTTTAACTTCCCTGTGCTTCTTCTTGTAGCTTCTTTTTTTTTTCTAAAATCTCTTCTCCTTCAGGAGCCTTGAAGTGATGAATAAGTTTCTCTCATTGGTCAAAAGCACATCCCTAGACAAAGCCATAAGGAGCTGAGTCATTTACCATGACAACACAAAGGTCCAAGGTCGTAGAATCAAACCCATGATCAGATATGGAAGGGCACAGTGCCCAGTGACAACTTTAAGACACGACACGGATCTATTGCTAGTAGACTGGAAAGTGAAGAGTAGGCATGCTTTACGGTTAACATGAGGTTATCTCGGGACAGTACTTTCCTATCTGCCGGCAGAGTGAATCCTGGACACTCTTGTTCTCTATCTCTGAGAGGCATGACTCAACAACTTTAGACTTGCTGTAAATTCTTGTCCTTGGGCACAAGTGAATGTCTCATTTGAGGTCTCTTTGCCTGGAAACTAATACTGACCAACTGTCTGCCAAGAAAGATAATTGCAGAGGAGGGCAGGTTTCTAAGTTTATACCTTATGGAGAGAGCAACGATATTGACTGTGATTACTTTCTTGCTAGAATCACACATTGCTGGGGGAGTCATCCAATATACCAATAGGGAAAAATGTGCCCAGTAATTGATTAATACTCTGCTGGAGTTTGGGGAATGAATCCCACCATAGAAAGGGAGTACTATGGTTTCACAGAGAATTTACAATAAGGACAGTAGCATAAACAAGTACTCCCACTGCCCTGAATGTGATCCTGGTGGGTTAGCTCCATGACTTTTCAGCTGCATTCTCACTGTATAATTCTGTGGTCTGTAGCAAAAAGTGCTCAATGAAAAATAAGCATAAGTTAGGCAGGGGGTGAGAGAAATGTTTGTAATATCTAGTTCCCTTTTTTCTGCTATGGAAATTGGACATGATAGCTGTTACTCTAGAATCCTTTTTGGACCCCAAAGAAAAGTCCAGGAAGAATTGTAGAAATCCCAGCCTAGATATCCACTAACTACAGCACCAATGTCCATTGTCCTGTCCCCTCCTTGGTGTTTGTTTTTCTTCTTTATTGGTTGTTATAGGTTTAAATCATCATGGCAGAATAATTAATGTTTGCAAAAAATTCAGTTATTAATTATAACTAGTTGTTTGATAGGACTTGTGACGAGCTGTGATATTGAGTGAAAGTCAAAAAAACATTTGTACCTTCAAAGAGGCTGTAGCTGAGTTAGGAGCCTATGTCTTTAACCATGAAACAATAGTTAAAATGATACAATATCTAACTAAGTCTCTATTTAATTTCACACTATAAGAAACATGACACATGGTTGCTCACGTGTAAGAAAAGTGCAGCCTTGGCCATTGAAAATGACTGTCATGGGTGAGAACATGACTAAATAATCCTTGAATCATGAATGTGCTTGCACAAGAAAGAAAAGAGTAGGAGATTTATACAGAAAGTAAAATCATCAAATTAGGAAAAGAGTTAGCTTGATTTAAATTCTAGAATAAGAAATACAGTCAAGGTACTAATGCAATAGTAATAATATGGCAATATGATAGAATGCTGGTAAGCACAGAGGCAAGGATGTATTGTGATAGAAAACCAGCGCCCACTGGATATGTGATATGTAAATCACTTTAGAAGTCTCAGGAGCAGCATTGAAACTGAATGGAAGTCTGTGCATGAAAAGCCCAGCCAAGAGACTCCATAGCTATCCAGAAGACAGAAGAAATGGTCTGAATCGTACTGTGGTAGAGAAAGTGTTCAGAAAACACAGATAGGAGAGCTAATGCCATATTGTGACTGTTAGGTGTTAATCTCTGCTAGAAACTTAAAAAGACAAGGAAGGGAGCCATTGTGAGCACTGTTCCAGCACAAACTTCATCTTGGCAAAATCACTGTTCCTATTCTAGACTTGAGGACAGAATAAACCTTCATTAAATACTTCTTGCTAAAAAAATAATATTTCTTCTTGCTTGAATTTTATTTAGACCTACAAAATTATTTCGTAGATTTATTTATATAAAACTTTGATCTTAAAATGTCTTGCTAGTTTTGTTGCCTTCTGTGTCTACATTAGTTTATTTCTGTATGCACATGCATTTGTATGCGCATTCACCACCATGTGCATGTAGAGCTCAAAGGACAGCTTGTGGGAGTAAGTTCTCTCCTTCTACCTTCTAGATCCTAGATAATGAACTCTGGTCATCAGTGTTTTTATCTACTGAGATATCTTTCCAGTCCTAGTTCTTATTTTTATCACAATTAGTATTCATAATTGCCTTTGTGCCTCATATATTTCCTTTTAAGAGTTCCAGGTATATGATCATGGACAAACTGAACTCTGTATGGCTCACTTTACTTGTACATAAAATAGAAATAGCACTTTTAGCATTCAGGGTACAGTAGGGAACAAGTAAAATCTTGAGTGAATATGCATTGTTGGCCTGGGCAGAGGTATGTCAATGACCCTATACCTCAACCTCAAAGGAGTGGCAAAGTGTTCCCCTGGTGAAACTCAGAGGAACTACAAAGCCTGGGGTGTCATAGTTTTCTCCCCCCACCCCATGTTTACACCTGAAGACATCTCCCTATAGAGACTGCTACAGAGGTTAGCTAAACTTGTTTCCTTGTTTATCTGTATGTAATGATTCCACCTCCTCATTTAGCTTACATGCAACAGCCTGTTCTACCTGTTCAACTGCATAAAATAAACACTCTAAACTTCAGGGATGCTGCAGCCTCTCCATCTAAAAGTTCAGGCCAACCAATCCCAGATTTTCTTTACATATGTGTCTGTCATTTCTTCATTCTTTTGCTGTCATTTGTCATAATTCTGGGACACAATCCATGAAAGCATGTGGCAGATAAATAAGTGATAAATAGCAGGGCTACTGATTATTATTTTTTAGTTAATCTTGTGTCCTGCACTTTACTGAAGGTGTTTATCAGCTGTAGGAGTTCCTTGGTAGAGTTTTTTGGGTCACTTATGTAAACTAGCATATCAGCTGCAAACAGTGAAAATTTAACTTCTTCTTTTCCAATTTATATCCCTTCATCTCCTTTTGTTGTCTTACTGCTCTAGCTAGAACTTCAAGTACAATATTGAAGAGTTATGTCTTCTTCCTGATTTTAAAGGAAACTTGATGAGTTTCTCTCCATTTAGTTTGATGTTGCCTCTTGGTTTGTTATATATTGCTTTTATTATGTTTATGTATGTTCCTGTTATCCCTGATCTCTCCAAGACATTTATTTTGATAGGATGTTGGATTTTGTCAACGGTTTTTTTCAGCATCTAGTGAGGTGATCATGTGGTGTGATAAATAAGTTAATACATATAAAGAGTTTCAAATGTCTTTAGAATATGTATTTATAAATGTTACTAAGATCATTGAATTTGGAACTCCCCATTTTGTTCAGAAATGTATTGGGAATATGTTTTTGGTAGATTGTAAGGCCCTATTGCTTAATTCTCCACACTTCTTGGCTGTATGACATAACAGGAACCAAGATGAAATTTAGTTGGAACCTTCTTTTCTTGCAGTTATATTTCACAGTCCCAAGAGTTGCTATGCAGGATTTTGGAGAAAGAAAAGGCATCATTGATCTTACCTAGCAGAAAACCTGGCAAAATGCACCCATTTATGCGATAGTGGCAGACATAAGAATCAGTGAAAGTAAAATATACAGAAGGAAAGAAAGGTAAAAAGACCTGAGGCAAAACATAGATGAAGAGAAACAGATTACATTATAAGAGCTATGGGACAAGCATAAGAGAAGGCTGAGCATTCATAACTAACAAGAAGTCTCCATGTCATGATTCAGGAGCTGGTCGATAGCCCAAAAGACAGCCTGTTACAGCAAAGGCGGGAAGAGCTTGAGTTCCAGGCTAGCCTGTTCTACAAAGCAAGTTCCAGGACAGCCAGAACTACATAAAGAATTGTACCTACTGGTTACCCCACCAGGCTGCAGTGGATAGTTGCTATCCAATAATCACACAGAAACTTAAATGTGTCAAAAACAAGATAGAAAGTCTTTAACTTGAGAAAGTTATAGAAAAGAAAGGAGTTTGCTAGAGATGGTTGGGAGATAAGAAAAGGTAGTGGTGGGAGTGAGAATAATAGAATGTATCATAAATATCTATGAATTTTTCTAAGTACAAACTTCATAGAAGAATAATGTTAGTAAGTAATCTGTTAACAATAAAGTGAAAACACCTATATTCTTGTTGTTGTTTTAATAATTATATCCTTAAATGCTCTCTGTATCCCCAGTGAGACTGTTTTGGAGAAAATAAATTTTCCTTTTTGGGGGATTGCCAATTGGAGATGACTTCTGGGTTGAGGATGGTGTCATGTGTCTATTTCCCTTTGCGGGACTGGAGCCCCACCTGTCCTAGACCTGTGAAGGCCCTGTGCAAAGTGCCACAGTGTCTGTGAGTTGATATGTGCATTGGTTCTGCTATGTTTTCCCTTGATGTCTGCCAACCCATTACTTTTACAATCTTTCTGTTTCTTCTCTCAGAGTTCCCTGATCCCTGTGGGGAAGCATTTGATGGACACATGCCTTTTAGGACTGTGTGTTCCAAAGTCTCTCACTCTCTGCACAATGTCCTGTTGTAGGTCTCTGCATTTGTTCCCATCTACTGCAGGAGAAAGCTTCCCAATTGATGGCCAAGCATGACACTGATCTAAGACTATAGTGGAATGCCATTAGGAGTCAATTTATTTCTACATTTTTAAAAAGCAGAATAATAGTATTTGATTTCTCCCTGGGTCTAAGGCACAAAATGAACTCACTGACATTTTTGGAGAATTTTTTTGTCTTATAAGTTTTGTCAGGGCATTATTTTTAAAACAATCTTACAGGTATTTTCTTCATATGCCATAGTTTCCAATTTTTTAAATGGATTTTCTGTGTGTGCAAATGTGTCTCTGTATCTGTATGTGTTTCTTCTTTAGCTCTCCTTTTCTGTTTGTCTTATCTTATTATGGTCTGTTTTTGTTCTAACTTACTTGTATTTACTTTCTAAGATACCTCTAATGAGTGATATAAAGAGTGTAGATAGATTGATTGGGTCTGGAAGTGGGGAGGGACTGGGAAGGGGAGGGGAGAGGAAACTGTAATCACAATCTATTGTATGAAAAATCTGTTTTCAATTAAAAAGACTAATAGAGAAAAGAGAATGGAAATAGGAGTTATATATATATGTGTGTGTGTGTGTGTGTGAAAATTTAAAATTGTCAGTTTTGTAATAACAACAATAATTATCTCATTTATAAACTCCATTTTCTAGGTTTTTGGGCCTCAGAATCACAGTGTTCTTGCTTCTCCTTGAGACCTGAAATGCATCCGTATCTGTTGTTGAAATGTGTTTTATTTTCTTGACCTACCTCATGTCCTCCGTTGCCACACTCCACACCCAATGCAGTCTGCGTGGAGCAGCATCATTTCTATCCTACAGCTTTTCTTACAATGCCGACTACAGTTCTTGCGACGTGGGAATAGGATGAAAGGCGCTGGAACCTTTCTCTTCGGAGCCTAAACACGCAGTTCTCTGCTTGATGAGGCATTCATGTGGACTGCTTCTGTCTCACCCTGCTTGCTCCTGCCTCCCCATGCAGACCTTCTATTAAAATCCCACTCAAGAAGAACACTTTCCACTTCACTTTCAGAGAAGCTAAATGTCTCTGAACCACCAGCGGTTTCCCCAGGGTTCTGGAACATCACGTCCCTGTGTTCTATTTTGAGCAAGCACTAAAAACTCCTTTCAGGCCAGGGCACAGATCTGTGTCCTCACACTATACCCACCCCCTCTCCCTGCCCTAGCTGGGAACCTCCAGGCTGCTTGGCCTAAGGAATCTGTGGATCCTTGTCATGATCGACTGAACTTTCTGCTGACATTCTTTTTTTTTTTTTTTTTGTCTCCTGCCACTGAGTACTCTTTTCTTCTAAGCTCTGTGCACATCCAAGTCTGCTTTAATTTTTTCCTCCATACCAACCTGAGACATTCCCTTTACCACAACCTTAATAGAAACTTGCCTCTTCCAAGACATTCTACCTCCTAAATAGGCAGCCAGGCCTGGCTGGATTCTATGAGTGGAAAAGTCTGTGTCAGCTGTCGGGAAATAGTGTCACCTAAGACATCTTCCAGGCACTTTGCTTATATGAATATGGTGACAGCTCTTTCTGTTCTCTTCCTACAACAAAAATCAGTGTATGGCTATATATCTCTTGGTAAGATGAAAAAAATAAGGTTACTTGGGAAATGAAACTAAAACATCTATAACTGAAATAGAAAACTTGAAATTTAAATTTCTATTCCAAATATCTAAGAAAATGTGTATGTTATGAAGAACTATACCAATCAGATACCTAACAAAAATCTTCCCATATTTTATCATTTATGAAGCTAAGACTGTGAAGAGTCGCAAGAGGAACCTGTGTCTCAGAATGAAGAGAAGTCACGCTGTTTATCATTATGTGACGCTTGCTGCTCTTGCAGAGGACCAGAGTTGGTTCCCAGCACCCATGTCAGGTGGCTCACAACTGCATATAACTCCAGCTGTAGGGTATCTAATGACTTCTTCTGGCTCCTCGGTACTCACACATAGTTGCCAATACAGACCTGCAGACACTTGACATATGCATTTAAGTAAGAAATAAAATATATTTAAAAATCTACCATATCAACACTTACATCTTAAAATGAAGTAAAATGAGCCTTGTAGACTAGGTCTCCTCTGAGCTGTCAAGCCTAGCTGCTTGTTTCTCACTTAATGGAGAGGGCTTGCATGGGTGAAATGGTTTTATCTAAACCTAAACTCTTGCCATCAATAAGTGACTGGCCTGAAGGCATGAAGTGACAGAGTAATACTTTCAAAATTAATTTCCTTAACTGGCATTGCTGGTCTTTGGAGACTAGCCTCTTCTATAGCACAGTGCCTGTGAAGCAAAAGTGAACATTTTTTCAATATATAGTTGTCACTGGTTTTCTTTAGTCCCACAGGACAATGTAAGTCTAGACAAGTTCTACAGTCTATACCTGGTTGATACAATGTTAAAGAGATTAATTCCTTTCAAACATAGAGGGATAATTTTTCCTTATTGTTGTTTTTCTTTTAATAGGCTGGGTTACCATCAGTTGAGGAAGCTACTAAGGAAATTAATATTTTTAAACTTCACAATTATTATTTCATCTTAATTCACAGTAGCTCACAGGTGATATTATTGTTCCTAATTCTAGATTATAAGTTCAGTAATTAAGAAATTTGAGTAAGGCCATAGATAAAGAGAAGAATATTCCAGTGTAAATACTCATTTTGCTACACAGTTGGTGGAAGATTCTATGCAGCATTTGTCTTGTTGCAAACATCATGGATGTCTGGCAAGTTACTAATGTGTTTTGAAAACTAGGAACCCATTCCAAATTCCATGCTTTAAACAGTTTCACTATTGTAATTGTTCCAGACTGGCCACTGTTTTGTATGTGTAATGAAAGGAAAGAGCACAATTTGTTTTTTTTTCTCTTTTTCAGAAGGCATTCTGTAAGCCACATTTTAATTTAGAAAAGAAAGTGTACCTTGAATTTATACTTGGTACCAATTTATGTTGTAACATTACTGACAGTGTCACTTAATTTGCCTAGTTGCCTATGGTCTAAATGTAGGTAATTTACAAACCTTTAACAATTTTCAGCCTTGCTAAATGGTACAGAGAACTGCAATTACATTTAAAATGCACTGGTGCTCTATATGTCAGTAAAAAAGCACCTACAGAGGCATAATTACAATGTAATTGCCGACGAGTTCATGAAGTAAACATACATTATTAGAAGACATTCATCTGTTCAATTTAAGTAACATTGCAGCTAACATATTGCATAAATAGGGAGCCATTTTGAGACTAGTTACTGTAATAACAGGAAGTTAAATTAAAATGTGGTGCCTAAGTATATGTATTCTTAAGTGTTTCAGATATGTTATTCAATATCCAGTGGCTTGCTTTTGACCTTTGAAAATTGTACTTTAAATATTACATTCATTTTACAAAAATATTTACAATCAATGTATTCATCAGACCCGATAAAAGTAGATGTTATAGAAAAGTTTTTGAAGAATTTGAGTCATAGAAAGAGATGCAGAAAATCATATTTATCACATATTTTAGAATGTTGTATAGCATAATAAGATGGCTAATCAAATGAATTTTTGAGTCTAAAATGTTGGAGGACACAGAATATACTATAGTCTTAGAACTGTTTTGTCTCAAAACCATCCTATGACCACGTAAGTGTAGCAGCAGGCTTTCTTGGATAGGCAGCCCCAAATCATGACATGGAGATTTATTATTAGTTATGAATGCTCAGCCTTAGCATATGCTCATTTCTTGGTAGCTCTTATCACTTACTTTAACCTGTTTCTCTTCATCTACATTTTTGCCTCAGGGCTTTTACCTTTCTTTGATCTGTGTGTCCTACTTTCATTATGTCCTCCATGTCTGGCTGACTTGTGGCTGCCTGGCTGGCTAATCCTGGGTGTCTCCCTGTTTTTCTCTCCCATTCTCTTCTTTCTCTTTCATTCTTTCTTTCTCTCTCCTGAGCCTAGATTCCTCTTCCTATTTATTCTCGCTGCCTGCTAGTCCTATCTATTCCTTTACTGCCTAGCTATTGGCTGTTCAGGTTTTTATTAGACCAATCAGGTGCCTTAGGCAGACAAGATGAAACAGAAACATGTCTTTACATAATTAAACAAATGCAGCGTGAGCCAATGCAACACATCTTTACAAACTTAAAGTAATATTCTATGACATATAAGTAACTGTCTGGCATTTGAAATATAGAGGAATTGAGTATTGGACATAAAGGCTATGAGAGGACTGTACCACATACTTGACGTGGATAGTCATAAGCTTTATTAGTTGCAACAATATTTATACATAGAACCCTTGTTTGACCTCCCATAGCACTTGAAAAACTGGCTTCATTGTGTAGTTGACACATGTCTAGGTCTGGGTTAAGAGTGAGAAAAGAAGACAAGGAAGCAAGATGGCATTTCTAATCATAGGACAGTCTGACTAAAGCCAGAATAGAAGGGAAATAAATGCAAATGAATAAAATATCTGGCGAGATGTTCCACAAGAGATTTCTAAGCACGTGGGGTCTACACTAGGAATTTTTTTACATTAGTCTCCCCCATCTCTGCTTTTCTCAAAAATTTAAGTCAATTTTTACAAAAACATGCTAGTCATTAAAAAATCCCCATACATAAGCTAGTAAAGAAATATAACAGATACTTCTATTAGGTAGCAAACTTTTAAAATGATTTTTATGCCCACTTGTTTTTAGTGATTTACAAAGGATGTCAATACAATGATTGCACCTTACTATTCTGTATAGGAACTTGAAAATCAGCACTGCTGTCACGTTCTGGGCATTGTTGCTGGGCAATGTCTTGTCAATTTTAGATCAGATAAAATCATCACAATTTTCTAATAGTAAATAAAAATTTAATTTGAACCAATATAATTGGAAACCACAGTTTAAAGACTCTGCTTAAGGCTGTAATTAAAAATGAACTTAAATAATTTGTGTGTGTATGTGTGTGTGTAAGTCAGGGGACAATTTGCAGGACATGATTTTCTCCTTCCATCATGTCCTTGTATTAAAGTCAGGTTGTTAAACTTAGTGAGATGAGCCTTTGCCTACTGATCCATCTCAGTTGACCCAAACTGAACTTATTGTGAATAAATTGTTAAATTTACTCTCTGGTTCACAAAAATAATGGTAAAATATGAATGTGCCTGTTAGTAGGATTTCTTTTTCATAAACCAACACTAAAAGCCCTGCTCTTTGTATGTATTTTGCTAATTTCTCAACATTCCATAATATTTTTAATCTGAAACTTTCCTCTACAAATGCATAGTTTACAAACTTTTCTTCAGTTGAGGATGCTAATTGTGAGAGGTTATGGGAACTTTGGGAGGTCAGAGATGCCTGGAAGAAGTATATCACTGGATAAGTCCTTGAAGGTACATTATCTTTAGTCACTTGTTGCCATGCCTTCTGCTTTCTTCCGGACATGATATGACCAGTTCTATTCTGCCGCACACTCCTACTGCAATGATATCTTGTCAAGTAGATGAGCACAAGTGGCCGTGGACTGAAATCTCCGAAACACCAAAATACGGTGTTTCTCTTAAGTAATACATACTGTTTAAGCAGAGATTTTGAATATTTAGTGACGCCTGTATCATCATTTTTTCTGTCACATATCACCTGCAATATCTCTCACATTTATTTGTGAGCATGTAAGGCCAGCCTTGTCTCTTCTAAAAGATTCATTTTCAGTCACTGCATCCCATATTCATGTTGGAGAAGATTTGTGTGCAAAACATGGCTGATACCCAACTGATGGCTCTGAATGTGGCTTAGCTCTTGCTCTAGATTGCATATTAACTCAAGATGTCACTTTATCATCCACTCAATTAGAGTTACATAACGTTTTAATAGGAAGATGCATAGAATCATTTATTTATATCACATAGGATATCAATAAGCCAAAGAAAGCATGCCATCTGGTCAAACTTGGTGAACTAATAGATTACTAGGGTTATATAAAAGAACATGAATGACTCAGACAACTTCTTTGCCCATTGTCCCGACCACCTCGACCACCTCGACCAGCAAGGAAGACACGACTCAGGAACCCTTCTTGCAGACAGTTTATTC